GATTCAGCTGCTGTTGAAACTGATCAGCAGCTGATTCCAGGAAGCCCGGGGCAGAGAAACTCTGCCTCGGGCTTCCTGTAGTCAGCCGCTGGTCAGTTTCAGCAGTGGCTGAATCTGGATGCCAGTTCCGACTTAAGTACAAATTCGACTTAAGTACAAACCTACAGTCCCTATCTTGTACGTAACCCGGGGACTGTCTGTATATAAATTCCTGGTATGCCCACACTTTAAATACTGCATTCAGCTCCGGTTGCCCATTCTCCAAAAAAATTAGAAATGGAAAAAAGGTACACAGAAGGGCTATAAGAATGATCAGGATATGGAACAGTTTCCAGATAAGGAGAGACTCGGAAACAGGGAGTGTCATCTTTTTCAAGGTTTAAAAAAAAAAAAAAAAAAAAAGGGTGGGAAGAAATGACTGACGTCTATAAATGAGGAATAGAAAGTGAATGAATGGAAAAGTTTTATTTACCTCTTCACATAACACAAATTAGTATGTTTTTACATAGTTAATCTCTGGAACTCATTACCACAAGATGTTGTGAAGGCCAGAAGTGTAATGAAGTTCAAAGAAGAATCAGATAAAATCATGGAGAAGTCTCTCAACAATGGCTACTTGCCAACATCATGGGGAGGTGCAACCTCAAGTTCTGGGTGTTCCCAAATCTCCGATTGTCAGATGCTGGGCATGGACACCAGACAATGGACCATTCAGTAATAGCTCTGAAGCACTAGCCATTGTCAGAAAAAAGAATATGGGGCTAGCTGGACCATTGGTCAAACATATTATGGTTATTCTTACATTCTCTTCCACCTTTCAGTCCCAGATGTGACTTTTGAATCCTGACAGGAGTAAAATCTGAACTTCTGGAAATGTTGCACTAGAATACTAACTCAAGGATTTGCTAAATGCTGCACTTAGTCTGTTTTATGAGGGTCACCCAAAGACACGTCAATTTTTCATCTCTTTCAAGCAAGAGATAACCCCCCCCCTCTCTATTTTTAATTATATATAGTTTTACATTTTGTATCTTTCTAATAAATCAAAACTATGCACCATCATGAGGACATTAAGGATGTTGGTTCACTTTTACTATTTCCAGAATAATGAAAACTGTCAATTTTATATATTCTAATAAGCAATTTTTAGTCTCTCCCCCCCGCCCCTTCTGCAAGTTTGAAGACAATACTAAAATTTGGAGAGCACTGCTTTCCCATCCATCTCAACCTCTCCTTTGCTTGTGTTCTTCTATTCAGTTCTGTATCATTTCTAAGTTTAAAAGATGCATTACCACAGTCTTTAGTCTCCACTTCTTCCAGTGGCGTTGTAACTTTTTCAAGCTAATTTTGGACTGAATTAATGTCTGATAACACTAATTTATAACTATCTCTTGCCACATTAATGGGAACAACTATAGCCCATCTCAGAAAAGAGAAAACCTGTTACAAATGTTCCCCATTTTAAGTCAATTAACAGGCCACTAATACCTCACCAGAAGGTATTTGTAAAAGCTCCAAGAGGGCTCAAACTACACTTTTTGCACCTGCACAGAATAGGAAGTGATTGCCATGTCCCTTGGTATAGTATTTAATTTTTTATTTTATGTTTTTACTGGGTATTGGGACAAAGATTTCTGGAGTGCAGTGTTAATACAGCACTCCAAATGCATTATAATACAGTTAATACAGCAATCCACATATGACACGAGCATTGATATGCTTCGTTATCTTCATTCAGAGAAGCAAGGTGATGCAATTTGTGACAAGGCAATGCAAGTTGTCACTTTAGTCCATTAACTTACATACCCCCCCTCCCCAAGATGGTGTGCAGAAACGTAGTATTACAACAGCTGGAAAGAGTTCATGTGTCACCACTGTAATCTCTTCAACTGATTTACTGTCCTAACATTCATGTCACTAAGTACAAAAGTACAAACTACTCACCAAATAAATTGCTTGAATGTCCTTGTTTAGATATGGGTTTCAGTTCATTTAATCCCCAAGAGTAACGCTTATAATTATCCCAGGAATGTTTCATCATCTGGAGGGAAATGAAAGCAGGGATTATAATGTTGATTTAACAAGAAACCATCACAGTAAATACTGATTGAGAATATACTGTATTTTCAATATGTGCTGAATTCAATCCTTAAATAAACTCAAGCTGTGTATTAGAAGCGTAAGATATTTCATCATTTAAACACAAAGTCATAGCACTGTGTTACTAATGTAATATTATGGTTGAAACGAAAAGGTATCATTTCAGTTAAATACATTCTCAAATTTATAATGGAGATCAATCCTCATCAAGATGAAATTTGGTACACACAATATTAACTCAGTTAAGATTGTCCTCAAAGACAAGCTGCTGGAACCAAGACAAGTAAAACATTGCTTTGAAGAAAATCTGACATTAGGATTGTTGTCCTAGACCAGGACAGGGCAATTTTTAGGATATCAAAATTGGCAGAGACTTAGAGTAGTTTTTGATATCTGGCTAAGAGATTGTGGGCTGGATACAAACTAGCCGGTTCAAGATCCATCCAGGTAACAGCAGCAGAAGAGTGTTAGTCAAAACATCTGGGGAAAAAATTGACACAGCTACGATGACTGCCTGCTGCTTCGTTGGATCAGCTATGCTTATGTTTTAAAATTACTATAATTTGCATCCGTGGATGGAGAGAGGAGGTGTCATACAAACCCTCTGCTGCTTCTGGATGTCATTTAGCAGCCGTGGCCAACAGCTTTCATTCTGTGACAGAACATTAACACAAATGCAAATGTACCCATTCCAATAGGTACACTGAATCTTGCACTGGTCTTTGAAAAGTACTAAACTCATTCTGAGGAATTCCAGTGCCTAAAGGGAGATACTAAGGCCTGATTTACAATAGCAAATTAGATTCATTTAACTACAGGGTCAGGGATGCTAGCTAATTAACTAAGTACATGGCACAGCCATGATTTTTAAACCAGACTCATTCCAGGTGTAGACAGACTAGATCCATAGAATAGCCTATGTCTTCTCCGCCCACTTGCCCTTCTCCAGCTCAGCTGGGCCCACTGTGCTGTGCCAGACCAGTTAACTGCATAGTTTAACCGGTTAGCAACTAGGGATGTAAAATCCCATTTAAAATGGAAAGTCAGAGATACCTGTAACATGAAATATGGCAGAATGTGGCTGAAACACAGCTGGAGACATACAACTCTCCCCACAAGGCGCTCACTTACATTAATTTTTTTAAATGGGCATCATCAGCATGGAAACATGTCCAAAGCACTGAAGGGGCATACAAATGTTTAGCATATCAAGCAAGTAAATATCTTGCAATTCTGCCTACAAGTCTCTGATGCAGATGTCTGTTCTTTCTTACATCACTGGAAAGTGAGAAGTGGGCAGCATTAGTTCTTAAATGTAAACAAACTTGTCTGTCTTCGTGACTGGCTGAACAAGTAGTAGGACTAAGTGGACTTGTAGGTGCTAATAAATTTTACTTTTCTTGTCTGAGGAAAATGGTTTAAAAAAATCTACATTTGTAAGTTGCACTTTCATAATAGAGATTGTGCTACAGTACTTGTATGACGGGAAGTGAAAATTATTTCTATTTATCATTTTTACAATGCAAATATTTGTAATGAAATACAAAGTGAGTACTGTATATTTTGTGAACTGTATTGTAATTGAAATTAACATACTTGAAAATGTAGAAAAACATCCAAAAATGTAATACATTTCAATTGTTATTCTGTTTTACAGTGTGATTTAAATGGCAATTAATCATGATTAATTTTTAATTGTGATGAATTTCTGAGTTAATTATACAAGTTAACTGAAATAAATCAACAGACCTAGTTTTAAACTGGCAATAAGGGATAGCTTTCAACTAGAGCTATGGGATAGTCACCTTCACTAATTTTTATACTGATTAATCAGTCCAATGACCCTTTATTGTAGCTGGCTTCTGATGATATACAGGCTACATCTGGAATAAGTTAATAATTGAAGAGGCTATATTATATACTCAGTATGTTGACTGTCAGTCAAATCTGCGTATTTTTTTTATATTGGATATAAATATAAAGACAATAAGGCCTTTGTCATCTGATGAAGTGAGTTTTACTCAGGAAAGCTCATGATATTATATAGATTTTTTTAGTCTCTAAGCTGCCATAGACTACTCATTTTTAAAATTATAGAGTAACAACTACCTCTCCGAGATGGTGCTTGTTAACTGCTGACTGCTAGCTACATGAGTACACTAGTCATGCTGGACTAGTTAACTGCACATTCCATTAATCACTAAATGTTTATAATTCCCACTGGCTTCAGTCAAAGCTGTATGCCTTCTTACCAATAAGTCTCATAGTTTTTCTGTAATCTCTTTAAATTTATACTCCAATATTACAGTTCTACCTTAGGAAGGATAAATAATTTTCACTTCAACACCCAGTTATGGACCGTAACTAGCTCTTCATTCATATACTTTCTCTACTACGCCTATGGTCAGATCATAACAAATATCAGTTTTGCCCCAAACCTGTCAACCCAATTTCATAAAAAGGACAAAGTTTTCCATGGATTCCCTCTCCCCATTTTGCGACCAGTTCTGCATTTGACACCTGTTGAAATGTGATTTAGCTAATACTTTCTAACCCTCTCCACTTTCTAACCCTCTCCACAAGTTTTCATAAACTTAAGTGTTGATTTCAGTTATACTAGTATTAGACTGAAAGGTGATGTAAGGCGAAATAGTTACTTTGTAAAATTTAAACACCAAATACAGTTATTAAACAATAAAACAGTGTAATTAACATAAGTCCTAGTTGTCCATTTCATTTAAACAGAGCCGCTCTAGACCCCTAAATATGAGATCTTAACTGCTGATCAGGAAGGATGCACACCTTCTGCAACTGGGCACTTGGCCCCCTCTTTCAAAGTAAGTAAGCATATGCATGTGATCTATAATCTAGCAGAGGAGTCTGACCCACAGGTACTGAAATAACTGAAAAATAGCTAGATATATTAACCATATAATTGAATCAACCATATTGTGTGCAAGGCACTGTATCTTCTACCTAGCATCAGCAGAAAATAGTCGCAATTATTTTTCTTCTCAGAAACCAGTTCTGCCCTGACTAAAAGATCTCAGAATATTTCACAACTGTTGTGTGGAAGTCCAGGATACATTTATTATGCTCCGCAAGACTTCTAGATATTGCTTGTATTTTATAATAATCACTCTAAATATGACTTCACTGAGCACTTATCCTAATTATTTCATCTGCTATTCAGATGAGTTCTGTGTCATGGTGTCATGGCAGCTTATTAGAGAAAAGTCTTTCATTTGGTTTCATTAAGACACTCTCCTAATGTAAGGGAAGAGACTCAGAATACTTGAACATCACTGAATTCTATGAAGTGGTCTCTTTGGTTACTAAATATTGAAAGGGTACATGCTGGGTTGTGTTAGTGAAAGATCTTAAAATAGCCACTACAGTGGTTTTGCTGATAAAAGCCATGTCTGCTTGTGTGGTCTTCTATCAAGCCATTCAGCAAGTAGATAAAAGCATGCAATAGGTTACAGATTTACAATAAAAGTTAAGTAATTCGAATAGTCAAGCCCCTGTCCAGAGGAATTTATAGTTAAACAGTTAGTCAATACAATATAGTACAGTATGGTCTTCATAGCTGGAATATTTAACAGTTAAGCCTTCCTTTTCATCAGCCAGAACATTAATTGGAAGATTGTAGCAAGATTAGGAATGATATTATCCCTTACCAGGTATGTTAGTATGTCATACACAAACATGAATTTCCTAGGTTGCTGAGTGGTTGTGGCCATCTTTGTTTTAAGAAATAAGACACACAAAATGGAGAATACAATATATTTTATTGGACCAACTTCTGTTGGTGAAAAACTTTTAAACGGAGCTCTTCAAGTTTTTATGAATTTTTAGTAGTCAGATACAATCTTTGTCTCGAGTGGAGTATGTGACAAAAGGACTAGCTTAGATAACCACGTAGAAAAGTACCATTAATATTAAAGACATTCTTCAGTTTAATCAAGTCAAACAATTAGTGTATCTGGCAAGAAATAAAGGGGTCAAATTGCCTTAAAGTGCATTCAAAATCTGAAATAGCCAAACAATGTAACATCAGGATGTAACACTTCTAAGTGTTAAAAAGTATTTATTAGTACTAAAAAAATCTTGAGTGCAGTTGTGCATCAGCGAGTAGAATGTTCATCTACTAAAGTTACATATAAATTACTGTTAGTAGAATGCTTAGTGAGTGTCAGAGCCAAGTAACTGTTGAAACTTAAAAATGAAAGACTTCAGTGCTAGTTTTTGTTTGATGGAACACATATTTTAATGGGTATGTTTTTATACAGAGTTACGACCGTTTGCACTTATGACCAAAGCTCCCATGAAGCGGTTGTAGAGGCAGTCCCAAAGTTACGAACGTGACCCGCGCTTACGAACAGCGCGGTCACGTATAACTCAATGGGGTCCAAGTTATGAACGGATCGAGTTACAACCAAGTGTTTGGTCCGTAACTAGTTTGTAACTCGGAGAGAGGCTGTACCAACAAGTAAATGTCAGTAGGTTAATCAGGCTATTCTAAAAATCATGTCAACAATAAAAGGACAGCATCATAAGAACAAAACTACAGTGCTCAGTATGGCTACTTATTTACATCTGTATACTTGCTCTCTTACGTGTCCTCAGATAAAGATCACATGCTGCATGCATGCACAGGTCGAGACATTGCTCTCTACATATCTCTGTGCTCAGGCGTACTGGGTGCATTCAACAGAGAGTGGATTCATACAGGTAATACTCAAAGACTTTATTTCTACCATAGAAATTTGAGGCCTCAAATTACTTTTCGGGAAGAAGAAATCCCTGAGGTGACCACAGGATAGACTATTATTGTCAAGTCTAATTCTTGAAGAGATGAAGAAACCATTCCTCTATACAGATGGCAGCTATTCTCTCCTCCCCCCCCCCCAGAGGTGTGGATGGATTACTAGTTATATG